TGATGTCAGAACTTCTAAGAAAGTATATAGAAGATATTCACAAAAATAAACTAAAACACATCTCTTAATTCTATATGAGGAATATATATGATTAGCTTAGAAACTGATAAGTGAGATGACTTTTACCTTGGTAGAGACGCCTTAAAAAATAGGAATATCAAGTCAAACACAAGAAAAACTGGAAAACACCTCGCTCTACTTAATCTGGGTTCTTACACAAATGTTAGGACTGTGCAAGTTTCCTTGACAGTTACTTATTTTTCCGAGTCTTGAATGAACACCAGAGATAGCCACAGTTGTAACAACAAATAATTTGATTAAGCAACAGAACTCGTAATTGCTTCACTTGTCCACAGCTAACTATAGCTTTCCATCTGAAACTGCAATTTGAGTTTCACCTTAGGGTGGAAAATTTCAGCCTGCAGTACAGCAAACTTTTCACCTCCTATGTGGGTTTTGCTACTTATGTATAATGTCCAAAAAAATAAAAAAAAAGAAGGAAAAAACACACTCGCGCGCGTGCGCACACACCCCTCCCACCAAATACTACCTAATTTCGCTGCACTAGAGCACTAAAGTTTCTAACCCCTGTTGCTTCTCAGTCTAAGAAAAAGGCCAGCACTTGTAAGAAATGAGAAAGGATAATAATAGCAGCAAAGTCAAAGCTCAATTTTAACATAAACCATTCTTTGTGAAGTAAATCAATTTCTTCCCTGAAGAGTGATATGAATAGATTAGCATAGGAAGTTAGGGTTTAAGGAATCCTCCAGAATTTATCCTATGATATATAGTATTACTCTCAGAAGTATCACAACAACTCAAATGACTTTTAGTGTCCAGCCTCGATTGTTATTCATTAAACCATGTTTATTTTTCTTCTCTTGCTTGTACATTGTACAGAACCAAATTCCTTACCCTCCTTTTAAGGAATAGACCTCCCTGCATCAATTGGGGAACAATGCATCTAGCATTCTCATTTAGTTAGTTTACACATGAGCACACAATAAATATTTCCAAATTATTAACCGCGACGGGACACATATCGGTGTCACTGGATAAAATTTTACCGTGGAGGGATAGGCTAATGAACTATGCTAGCGCGCTATTTACACACTTCATAGCCATGTTAGTTACCCCAAAAAAAAATTTGATGAGTTGTTGGTTACCTGCATAACCCCGTCAGCAATATAACACCCTACAACAACGTAAGCGACACAACATATGATGTCTATCCATAATAAATCACCAAATGGGACACAGACCACATAGATTACAGGAAGAAAGTTGGGTAGTGATAATATGGAAGTTGAGGTTAATACACAATCACTAGATGTCACGCCTCGAAGATCCGGTGGGGTTTGGACCGGAACTTCAAGCCTCGTCGGATCTTGGGGGCCAGGCACTATACCATGCACTCGCATCCAAGTTTTTTTTCTTCTCATAGTTTCATTGCCAATTTCAGCTGAAGCCTCATCGGGAATATCCAATGCTAACCACATACTTGTTCTTCCACAATCCCGCACATCTCAGTAGTGGCTGACCTCACCTATAGTCACCAAACTACTCTGGTTGTGCACTACCAAAAAAATGTAGTTACTATAGCTACAAAACTAGTCTGGTAGCTACAAAACAAGTCTGGCTGTGCATTGCAATAAAAATGTAGTTACAACATCTCAGGAGTTAGTTGCGACATAATCAGTTAAAAACTGTGGTGCAGCTCCATTAACCATCATAAAGTTCTCACGAGGCTTACTCGCCAATGAAAAGTAAACCGTGGTGCAGCCCCATCAACCATCATAAAGTCCTCACAGAGCTTACTTGCAAATGAGAAGTTTGCAAAACTCAACTACCGCTATCACTCGCTCTATTTGGGTGACATATGTCATAGCCCATACCAAACCCTAAAATCAACCCTGAACCCAACCCTGTACCCAACCAAAATCCATCTTTAGGCTTTTCCCTTGCCAATAGCTTCGCCATCATGACAACACCAAAGAGGCTAGAGGAAATAGTTGCACCGTAGAAGTCAATAACAAGCTACCTATTTCTCCAAATAGGAACCACATGGAACATTGCCTTGACTACTCTTGTTGTCAAATCATACCATGGTCCCACTATCTTTTCGTGTACATGTCCATGAAGTTACCATCATTCCAATGGGATGACTTATGCAACCCTCTCCTTGGAGCTTGTGGGTGTTCAATTAGGAATCAATTGGCTATCAAAATGTAGTTGGTAAACCACTAATCTTAACCACATCCGTCAATTTTTTACTAGATGCTTGCGGTTCATTGCAAATTTAATACTAAACAAATTCTCCATGTTTTGCCCTCATACCCAATTTTAACTTAAGTAATTATTTTCGTCAACTATGTAATAGACCATCATAACTGAAATCAATGATCTTTCCACTATTTTACTTTTTGAGGGGG